GAGGGAGAGAGAGAGAGAGGATGCTTTGTGTAACCACTACAATCACTTTCTAAAATGCTCAGCTCGGCTTTTTGCCTGTTGTTTTTTTTTTTTTTGGTACACTGAAATCCTATCACTTCATCTTTGCATACAAGTTACAAATGATCAAAATTATATCACATTCAAGAGGCCTAAAACCTGTTTTTGAGGCCCTGTGACCTTGACCTTTGACCACTAATCAGGTCATCCATGAGTCCAAGTGAATAATGACAGATGTAACGAAATAGAAGTTAGGATACCACTGATTGTTGAAAACAATTTTCAAGGTGTGAAATAATCTGTTTGCTGTAAATATAGGAATACTTCTGTGAAACTTGTGCGTTATGCTGAGTCATGGATGCAGTGATAGAGGTCTTTATGCAAATGAAAGGAGAAGGACAGAACAAGTGACACACAACACAATTCAACAGAACCGGGGCCTGTTGTCTGTTGAGCCATGGTCCCAAATCCCTGGACTCCCAATGAGCAGGATTTGCCAGTGTGGAGACACTCCATCAAACAAATAAGCTTCAATACATTTCATATTGAAATTCTCTACTTCGTCTGGCTTCCTTTTCCAAACTGCCTCAAACCTTTCAGTGTAATGAGTCAGACAACATGTAATGGGCTGCCTTTGTGAGAATGCTGTGAGGTGCAATGTCAACAGCAGATGGCAGCAGTGACCACTCATAAAACAACCGTGATGCATCTGTACTGTCTTCAACAAATTTGACAAAATTGGGAGGACACAGGCATTTAAGGAACTTTATGCCATGTGGGTAAAATGTCAAGACTATAAGATCTCTGCCCTTAAAATTGATTGCACAGTAATTGGACATAGGAATGAGTGCTTTACAGTTAAATCAAGAGTACACAACAGTGGGCTTGTAAACAGCTCTGTAACAGTCACCTCCGGCACCCACAGTTCGACATGTCCTCCCACTTTTTGAGTGGTTTTGGCAAAGCTGATAATTCCAAAGAGAAAATGTTTCACCTGAATCTACCAAACAGGTAACTTGATGTCCTGATATTGTCATTGTTAATTCTATCGTTTCCGATAGCCTACTTTATAGTCATTACAAATAGCAAATGTGTGGGCATTATTTTAGCTTCAATATGACTTACAGCATGCATTTTTTGGCATAGTTTGTTTGATGCTGTGACTCAGCCTTCATTATGTTTGTGTGTGTGTGTGTGTGTGTGTGTGTGTGTGTGTGTGTGTGTGTGTGTGTGTGTGTGTTGTGCAGGCTGGTCCATGACATCCGTTCCCCCGCCTTCAGCTCTCAGTCAGTCGGTTGCAGAGATGGCTCATCATCCTTCTCTTGGGCCTGAGGACAGTCCCAGGTAATGGATGAGGGAACCAGTGAGGCTGAATTTAAAAAGAAATCAGATTATTTGATATGATTCATGAAATGGGGGGAACAAACTTTTAGCATAGGCCTTTTATTGTGAGTGACCACAATTTCTATATAAGAATGACCAACATTTTAGCAAGTTGTGACTTCTCATCATCTCCATGTATGGGAGCGAAAGGGGCTTAAAACTCACACACACAGGGTCTGGGCTGGCTTCGCCCCCACTCACACAAGCCTCATCCACCTCCACTCTCTCCCGATCGAGGCCCACATCAACTACATACTCCTCCTTCTCACCTATAAATCCCTCCATGCCCTAGCCCGACCATACCTAACTGACCTCCTCCAACCCTACACTCTGCTCCAAAAGCTGCTCCAAACACAGGTTTGCTCTCCATCCCCAACACCAAACTGCGAACCTTTTGGAGACAGAGCCTTGTTTTTTTTCAGCCCCCACCCTCTGAAACTCCCCCTGCTGAAATCTGCAATGCTGCATCTCTGGACAGCTTCAAAAAACTCCTTAAACATCCCCTGTCCATTAAGGTCTTTGGCCTCAGTTAACGCTCCACCCTGCCAGTGTTCAGTCTATTTCTGTCCTGTTTTGTGTGAATTACTTTCTTTTCTCTGTCCCTACTGACTCATGTTTAATATTATTATTAAAATACAACAGGAGCAAAATATGCCATTCTTGACATTTGGGGGCACTGTTGAGCTGCAGCTGAGTAGCTGAACCTCTGAAATATTCATAAAGCAGCAGAGGGGGACAAATGCAAAGTGTTGCGTTGAGGATTTCTAACTTACTCTGACATTGGTATGAGACAGTTTACTAGGCTACAGTTCCAGTAGCTCCACTTCCTCACCTGATCTTTTAACATTATCTCCCTCTCTGCTCCCCTTTGCTTCCTCTGCTTCCTGCCCTTTTCCCCTTTATCACCACAGTACCTGCCTCAGCTGAGAAAGACCTCTGGAGTGTTTTTTTTAGCGTGACATATTTGCAGTGGATAGCCTGTACCTAACTTGTCAAGAATTATTTAATTGTGTGTCTGTATGTGTATTTATGTGGTTAAGCAAAAAGGCAGTATGCTCAGTGTTAAATGATTTTCAACATACTTGAAGTGGTAGCAAAACTCAGAATATGGCCCTGGTTCCTTGATGAATCACAAAAACATAAACTGCATGACTCCTATACGAAGAGAATTCAGGACAGATTTGAAAAGACATGCTGTACCTCAACAAAGTCACATGAGAAAGCTGTGCAGGGTCTGGATGCGGGGGCACTAATAACTTGCAGATATTCCCATGTGGCTCTGAGGATGAGCTGGGAAAGAGGTGGAAGTTTGATATCAGACACCTGATATATATGGTTGAATCTATTTAATGTGCATTTAATAAACGCTCGCTGCTGGAGACTGCCTTCTGCTTGCTCAGTGAAGGAGTAATGTGGATGTTAAGGCTGCCGGAGCCTGGGAACCAGCTTAGTCCCAATGGCAGCAGCTACAACTAAGTGCAAATATGAACAAATCACAAACACACCAAACTTTGATCTGATGGAAAAAAGCAAAAATTCACTGGCTCTGTTTCGACACACGTGGCTCTTGATTTCTTGTAATGGGTGTGTGAAAGTTTGATCCAATTCCCTGCGGACTATCTTGTTCAAACATCTTGATCACATATCCGCATTAGTCATGTTTGGTTTTGCACACGATGCAGGGCGGCAGACAGCACTGGTCTGTAATTTAAGGAATGAGTTAGTAACAGGTTATGGTGATGATTTTAAGTAATAATGAAAATGAACAATTCAGGCAATACAGGGTTAATGTATTTTTTATGAATGCATTTATTTTGTATTAATTAATGTATTTACTGGTGGGTTATTTTCTAATGTCCTATGTCTATAAACATATTTCTCATCATTGTGTGTTTAACAAGATTTGCTCACCAAAAACTGACTCTTATGAGTCTGAGTTCACTGAAAACAACTGAGCACCATGTGTATTTCCTTGTAATTCTCTTTAATCCAAATAGCAAAGCTCTTTTGAGGAAATGTCTAGGTAACCTGTAAGATATTTGTTGCTATAAGTTTCTTTACAATAATATTAGCTATGTTTTTGCCAAGTGTTTGGAATAAAACATTGATGCTACTCTCAGACAGATCACTTAGCTCAGTCAGGCACATAGCCAACTGTAAAAATCTGAATATTTTATTTATTTTAGAACATAGGACAAGATGGAGAATATCCCTTGGATGTTTGAAGGTCTACTCTACTTTAAGATTCCAACCACAAGTTGATAAAACATGATATTTAGATTATCACACTTTAGATGTGCTCAGACTAAGCTAGGGTATCTGTTTTCCCCCAGCTCAAATCTTTGTGCTTAGCTAAACTAATAATGCTACCTGTATAATTATAGACACAAGAGTGGCATCAACCTCATTTAATTCAGAAAAAGGGAAATACGAGTATTCGCTAATGTAGAGCTATTTATTTGCCCTGACCAAGAGATAAGACAGAAATTGTACTCTTAAAAAATAAAGCATCAGTGCTCTCTGGTGGACAAATTATGTGATGAAACATGGTGTATAATTTCTCTAATTTATCTTTTTGCAATTTTGCACTGGAATTCCTCATTGGATGACATATAGGCTAGACAGTAAGCTATTATTAGCATATTAGCCTCACCAATTTGTCAGTCTATTTCTAATCTTAGTGTAGATACTAATTAAGACGATATAGACAAATAAAAAATGAGAGTAAAAGAATATGCTTTGAAATTTGAGGAGATAAGATATAAATCCTATTAATTATAATAATTACTTTTTTTTAACAGATTGTTTTCAGGTCAAATAGGACTGCAGTGATCTGCAAGTCTGGGAGGTTTTACTAGTTTAACCAACACGCCCTTCTCCGGATCAAAATATTTATCAAGGCTTAATCCAAAACCTCTGTGACTCTGGTTTTTGTTTAGGTGTGCAACCCACTGAACCCAGTGCCCTCAATGCATTCTTGGTATTGTTGTGGTCTGTGCTATTGTACAGCACAGACACTATTATTTGGTCACTTCACTCCCTCTCTTTCAGTATTCACTTAATACTGCACTCCCAGGCCACTGGACTTAAGAAAGAGCTGCTGTGTTTGTGTGTACGTATCAAATAGGAATTAAACCCATTTAGAGTTCTGAGGTTTTGGGGTCAGGTTTCCTTCATGTCACCACCAAGATCGATGGATGTGACCTCTGACTGCTCCAATTTGTATATAAACATAGCACTGGCCAATCAGTGCATCGCGTGGGATCATGCCAACCAATGAGAGCGTCTAGCAGCATCGTGCTCTGTGGCACTCCCATCTTTTGTCCGTCAGGATTAGTGCCGTGGCAACGCTGGTCGCCTGGGAGGTGAGTTTCCCAGAGCAGTGGGACAAGGACAGAAACAGGCTGCTTCATTCCAAGTATTACTTCCTTCCCGGCCAATTGGATAACACAAATGAAGTGCTGTGTATGTGTGTGTCACTCTGTGGCTTGCAACTCCAAAACTTCCACCTACACTGCCAACTCTAATGAGGTGCCATCCTGAGCAACAAGCTCAGAGTGTGTTTGTCTGTGTGAGTGAGTGGAGGGGTTGGTGAGGGGCTGTCCTTGTGTATTCTCTTCTGTGTGGGGTACTTTGTGGTGAAGTCACCCCACTCTCCCTCCCTTTTCTGTTGGTGGACTACATTAGCCAGAAGGGCAGAGGGCCAGGCAGCTGAAATCACTGCTGCTGATCAAGCATGTGACTCCAGACCGAGCCCTTTTGTTTAGACAATTACAGCCAACACACAGAGCTCTGCAACTGCAGTGTGGCATGGGAATAGGCAAGCATGGGAATGAATAGACATTAGGAATTATTAAAACCTGCCTTTGTTTTTTTCCGATTGCGATTCTTGAGAGGAATTGCCTGCAATTGGTTCTAACCCTTAGATTTTCATTAAATTCGGCCCCCTATTTTGATACAAGTGATTGTTGACATTTTTTTAAAGTAGCCATTTAATGTAACTCTACCCTGAAAATTTCACATCCTACATGGTGCTGCCTCAAATATAGTGAAAAGCAGCAGTAGCAGAATATAATGTTCAGTTAGTATTAGCAGTAAGTTCACACAATACTCTGATACAGCTCTAAAAGGTAATTTGAATGATATCAATGAGATCAAATTAACAGTTAGTGCAAACATTTCTTAATTCTTATGAATCCTGTGCATGTGAAGACAATCCGATGAATCACCACTACCAGTGAAGATGACCTTCCAAAGAAGTAATTAGAATATATTGTGTCACTGGTAGGACATTACTGAGCAATGTGAATACTAAATGGGGTTTAATTAACTGAAAAAACTGTCTTCCAGCTTGAATGAGAACTTTTTGTTGTTTTGTTTTCCTACATTTAAATAAAGTTCTGAACATATACATGGATTTCAGGATCTGAAAAAATGTATACAGCTCAAACCAAGGGACCTAAACAGATTCAGATCGTCTTCAAACATTTGTTGGACAGCATCCAATCATGCTTCTCTAAATGTAACTTAAACAGACTTTACATTGCTTACACTACAACTGTTGGATCTGTTCCAGGGTAAACAAAAAAAACAATGTCTGCTTAATGTCTTACAAATGGGATTTGCAGGATACGCTTCCCTATTCGATTTGCAGGATACACTACACTACATGCTCGGAGCAACTCTAGATTTAGGCACTACTTGGTCTGCCTGAAATCAATCCACTGGAAATGAAAAACAATACTTTCACACAGACAATGGACAATGGTTTTGGCTGTCTTAATAAAGTGCCGACGGTAGAGGAGGATTCACCTTTTGAGCCAAGACACTGAAGCTTGTGGACGATGAGCGAGCTGCATGTTCAATTTCTCTCACGGACAAACGGATTTGACTGTGGGAAAAAAAACAAATGCATTATTCACAATATATTCACACAATGACAAAATCACACAGAATATACTGAAACTCAACAGTATCCCATTCTTCCTCCTCCACTCAGGCTAGATCACGTTTCAGCTATTTCATTTGCACCCAAAAACGCCTCTACAGCCTCAATCCTAAAACAGTCTCACAAACACAAACACACAGCCTCATTTTCCAGTAGGAAATCTGATTCATGAAAATGCCATAAGCCTCAAGGAAGATAGACTGTTGTGTTTGTTGTATGACTTTATATCATAAGCCAGTCAGTTATTATGACTTATAGGCCATGGGAACACATAATGAATTTACCTCCACGACATGTCATTGTTTATTAACGGTGAAGCTATTTCTATTCTCTACAAACACATAATGACAGTATTTAAATGGAAAATATATCCTGTGATTATTATCAAACACTACACTGACTCTTATTCCCATGCAGTAATATTACAGGGATCTGAGCATGCATCCTGCCAGCTGTGCAAAGGACTTAACCCTTTCTGTCCACCACACACTGTTCAGTGAGTGAATGTGGGACTTTATCTGTTAGAAAGAGGACAATTAAAAATCGAATCCACAACTGCATCAAATAATCATCTGCTGTCAATGAGCATAGTCGTACACTATTGAAAAGGATGCGTTTCATAAGCAGATGTGTGCTCCATCATCACATTCATTTACTGTAGAGAATATAAAGAATACAGTTGTGTTCTCAGGCGCTCTCCTGGCCTGCATACACTCATCACGTGTCAACACCTTCTTCACGACCAGCCTCAGCATTGTCCTTTTATACGATCACCAAATAGGAGCAATAATAAACAGTTACATTACAATACATAATAAATACACATCTATTTCTATCATAACCTGATCCCCTCCACTGCTTTTCCCTCCTGGATATCCACAGTAAATCATTCATTTTCTAATTGCAGGGATCACAGGTAAGTATCAATTTTACCTTTAAGATTAAGCAATTTCAGACACAGGCAAATTATTAATTGGAAAGTATTTAACACAACAGTAGTTGTATGACCTTGTCAGGTCCTTTTATCCTTTTTGACACTGAAAACTATCCGTAAACACTTTGATGACAGATAAGGGCTGCTAAACACAGCAAACATGACGAGGACTCTTATTTTGAAGACCTTGACACCGTTTTCAACTCTTAAAAACCAAGGCTGTAGCATTAGCAATGCTAACAACAATTCGCATTACTCAATTAGCATGACACTCTCATGACACAACTGACTACAGATCATCCAGAAAGATCCTGAATGTCCTTTAGTTTGGCTAATGGATTTCTCTCACTCGGCGCCCGCCATTTTGATTATGGCCAGCCGCCATTACTATGGTCAAGATGAACGTCTCGCATGTCAAAGTTACTCACATGAACTCGCATCGCCTGAGGTTGTGTTTTTAATCAGCTTACCTGAAAATATAAACAACACAGTTTAGTTCTCACATGGTTCTGACAACTTCTTCTCTGCCAGCGGCAGCCACTAAATTACCATCGTATTATGCAGGAGGCGCCCCCTGCTGACCATATTGTGCGTAGCATGGGTAAAGTAAAGTCAAAGTCTGCTTTATTGTCTGTACCTTCACATACACCAGACATACAAAGGAATCGAACCTGCGTTCCTAACTATCCCACGGTGAAGACAAGACGAGACATTTCCTAACACAAGTAACAGTAAAGTGCACAGGCACAACAAATGAAGACAGACATATGCTCACAAAAGTAGACAATAAATAAAAATAAAAGACAGTTCTCAGTGAAAATGTTTGAGGTAGCAGCAAAGTTTTATAATATAATATAATATGGTGATATACAATGAGTTGTGATAGTGCAAAGACAAGTAGTAGAAGTAACCACATGTCTCAGTAAATTACCTAAAAGCAGAAAAGATACAGGCAGGTAACGCAACGCATATGTTTAGCGTTACTATAGCAACCACGTCGACGAGCGTCGTTGTCAGTAGCAACCACTGCAGCAGCGCTCGCACTGTGTTGTTAGCTGTTATGCTAGCAGGCCAGCAGTTGAAAACACCGCAGCGACGTTGAGACTCGGATTATTGACGCTGTGACCAGGTTCACGGGAGAAACAATGGATTCCCAGTCGCTGTACTTTTCCCTGGAACTCGTCGCCGGAAGTGGGGACACTCTGAATGTCGAGCAAAGAACCGCCCTGCACACTTCCTTGTTGATTCTGCAGAAAAACCACAAGTTCCAGCGAGTTGTGCTCTGGGGCAAAGTGCTTGGGTTGAAGGGGGATTATTTTATTGCACAGGGGAGAGGAGAGGATGAGATGAAGGACAGGAAGAATCTGTATAGGTAGGAGAATCTCACCCATGGTTCTGTTTCATTCATCTACTGTGTGTAGAAAAGCCAGATTGTGTGTGTTATGGCTGTTTCCTGCAGCTTGAACTGTGTGGACTGGTTCCTGCTGCCCCCTGCCACAGACCCTTTAATCGACCAAGTGTCCAGAGCTGCCAAGGGTGGCTTCACAGGAGACCCCTCACATGTGTATGAGCATCGGGAGATCCACAGGCGAGGAGGAGGAGATGAAGAGGAGGAGGTAGTGGTGAGCAACATCAGTACTGTGGATATAAAGTCCAAGTCACAGAAATACAAAAGTCACTTAGGTGCACAGTATAGACAAAGTGATCCGTGGTCCTGGAGGCCGTTGACAAATAAATCCATCCATCTATTTTTATGCAAAAGAAAGTATTTTAGCTCAGCGTCATGGATCAGAACTGACCTCAACCAAAAATAACAGCAAAGATGAATGTGGGACCTAAATTAAACATACAACTAGAATTGTGCTCAGTAGAGCACATACCTCTACCAAGGCCCAGCAGTCCCCTAAAATTAAAACAAGCCTTACAGCTAAGGCCACATTACATTACATTTCTCAACTGCACACCAGTGGTACTTACATGGAACCAAATTTAAATTCACTAGATCTAGAATTGTTGTTGGATCAGCATGCAGTTACACACTGTCATAGACATTAACCCCCTAGATATATTTTTTCTCATAAGGATTTGCACATTATTCTCTGAGTAATCAACAAAAATGTTTAAGAAAGTGAAAAAAGGTTTTCAGAATGTGCCCAGTGATCAAAATCCACCCAAAAATTCTGTCCAGTAGTTTTTGTGTAATCCTGTTCACTGTAATGAACACAGATGGCAGAAGAAGAGAGTACGAAAGAGTCTAACTGGAGCATTTCTGTGATTCGTTTCTATTGTTGCTATCTGAACAGTCATGAAAAGGTGCTCTTGGTTTCAGACCAAAGTGAATGAGGAGAGCAGGCTGGCAGTGACGGTTCATCACATCGATGAGGAAGTGTCTGTGGTACCACGAGGTGCGTTCATCAAGAGTCCGCACGGCCTTGTCCAGATCAACCGCAGCTTTAGCGGTAAACACATTTCAATGTTTCACATCATGTGTGAGTCTTAATCCTGTAGTGGAGCTTAAACATTTGCAGCTGCGTGTAAGGTGTTTCATCAAGCATTGATAAAATGTGGTATTTATGTTAATGGGACCAATACGTCAATCGAAACATTGGGAAATGTTTCATAAAGAAATGTATTTGGTTAATTTACAGTTCAGTACCCTGTGGAAAAGTTTATTTCTTTGTGAATTTATTTCTTATGTGCATTGGCAGGTCTGTCTCACTCTGAGGCAGGAAAGCTCGACAGTTTCCTACACTTCAGCGAACCAAAGAATCTGAAGAAGAAAAGCATCCTGGAGACAAGTCAACTCAACCCAGCTATTGACTTCCTGGATGTGCTGAGTGATGACATTCCTAAAGGTGAAGCCACAGAGCTCAGTTTACCCGATACTAAAACATGTCGCCGATTGTTCTGATGTCAGTCCCTGAACACTTGAGAGGATAGTTTTAATTCATGTGTCAATGAGGCCTTTACAGAGCCAGTGATACAACTTGAGGTTTTTCACTCACATGCTATATTATAAATAATGAGATGAGATCACAATATGAATTAGTATGGTGAAGGGAAATTCAAGAGACGTTTTTCAGAGTAAAACACCTACGTCATTCTAACTGTAAAATGAAATTGAGCAAGGCTACACTGATAAATCCCCCTGGCCTCCAGATTTCATGGGAATGTGTTGTAAGAAGTATCTCACTCGAAATGAGGAAGTTTTGCCTCTTGTGGTTTGATGACATCTCTGCTATAGATTTGATTTGATGAGAAATATCTTGGCTCTCAGTTCTAGATTCAGGGCCCAAGTACTGCAGGAGTAAAAGGTCTAGTGTGTAAGATTTAGGTGAAAGGGAACTCTTGGCAGAAATTGAATGTAGAATAATTCTCATGATGTTTTCAATAGTTCATTTCATCTAAATTGTATGAATTGTAGTTTTCTTTACCCCAGAAATTGCCCTTTATATTTAAATACTTTATATTTACATCGGGGGCTCCTCTCTACGGAGGCTGGCATGTTTTTTACATTAGTCCAGACTGGACAAACTAAACACCTTTTGAGTTTTTATGACAATTAAAGGCTGCCACAGGTTCTTTTTCATGTGTGGAAGGAGAGGGTGAGGTGAGGGGTGTTCAGCTGCAACATGCAACTTCAACACTAGATATCACAAAATTCTACACACTGTACCTTTAAGTAAATGTAATCTAGGAGTGTGTGCAGTTTGATTAGATTTAAGGAGACTGTTGGGCCTGAGTGCCATGCCATTTATTTATTTGTCAATTTGTTATTATGTTATGTGGTTAAAAGCAGGAAATACTGATGTTGACTTTTTCAGATTTGTGTGGTCAAATGCTGAGAATTGGGTGTGTGGCTCTGCTTTGTCATCCTGGGAGGATCTTTATAGTTCAGTGCATGTCGGCAAGCAGCTTTTGTCTAGCAAGCCTGTGAGGTTGGTTTCTTGGCTGGATGTGATGTAGATTAAGTGACGTCCTGCATGTTCAAGTGTATGAGCATCCAAGACTAAATGTGCAACAGATGTTTGATTTCAGAGCTTCCTCATGTGTATATGTTTGCGTGTGTTCTTTGAGTTGATACTGACGTTAACAGTGTCATCGCTGCAGCAGACACTACACAGCTGTCTCAATGCCACACTCACTGCAGCCGTTTGAACAGCATTTCACATGAGTTTGCTGAAAAGGAGACAGTTTTTTTCTTTTTTTGAATGGGACCTTGGGGAAAATGCAATATAATGCATCTCTACCAAAAGACAGATGTTTACTTCGAAGACCCCCGGGCTGTGCTCCACCTCTTTTCCACAACCATTGTGTCCAGCTCTCGATTTACAGCTTTAGATTTTTCCATTCTCCCACACCTCTTAGTCATTTATATTTGAATTGAATCATACTTTATCAGAAACAAAACAATGAGGGAAACTATTGTCTTGTTTCTCAGAATCATCTCCCTTTAGTGTAGTTCATGTTGTCTATGCTCTGGGTCTTTGGTTTGTGGTCACACCCAAACATTTTCAGGAACAGGTTCAACTGTAGATATCATTAAACACAGTGTTGATTGGCTGCCCCTGGCATACAAAACAGCATAACTTTCTTGGAGTGATTTCCAAATAGTACTCCAGCCGGCTACTCTAGTCAGAAAACATGACGTTGCAGCCTCTTGCATGTATCAAGTGTTTACAAGCTTTCTGCCCTTGTCTGCAGGATCATGGAGCCTCCAGTTTGAAAGTGGCAGCAAAGTGTGCGTTCTTCGCAGCCTGTTGTGGCTCGGCCTGACCTTCTACCACGTGCCAATGACGCCACAGCACGGATACATCTACATTGGTAATGGGGCCAAGAATTTGGACCTTCCCTTCATGCTGTAAAGAAACACTTAAAAACGTATTTCAAGCTGTAGTTTTCCATACAGCTCTTCAAAACCAAAGTCTCTTCTTTGAAACATATTGCACAACTGTTTGCCTTCTCTTAAAATGAATAAACTGTTCAGTTATGCACTTTGTGTCGACAAGCCCCCTCTTATTTAGTTCTCATGCATAAAGTCTATTTCTATACAGTAAACAAATGCTGAGAGGTAGAATAAACAGACATTTTATTTGCACATCTGTGTTTCCTTGAGTTTACACAGTCAACATACCACCTACTTTGAAAGTGTAACACTGACCCAGTTGTTGTTCACATTAAGTTGTCAGTGAGTGAGTTCACTTCAAGGCTTTTTGAAAACCCACAGAGAGAAATGGATGAGTCTGATGGGTCTGAGAAGTGTGACACAGTTTTATAAACAAAAGGTAGATTAACAGATGGATGACGCGTTTAGGCCTTTTCCCAGGGCACTATCGCAAAAGTCAGACGTGAAAATCCGCAGCATCCATGCGTAATTGGCCCACCTACTCTTCCGACAGCTGCTGTGCTGATTCGTCAGGCTTTTTGTCCTTCAGTGTTTCATGTAAAGAGGCTTGACACCATAATGCACATTGTCCTTGAGTGCTGGGTGGCCAACAAGCATTCGCTTCTTACACCACTTCAGTCCTTTTTTATAGATGGGTTTCACAGAGTTAATGGACCAACGAGTCAAATATCTGTAAAAAAAAAAAAAAAAAAAAAGAAAGAAAAGAAATGTAAAACATTTATCTATTGATAGACATACATGCTGAGAGTTGGTAGATGATGGTGAAAAACATACACACAGACACATGTATCACCTGTTAAGTTGTGGCTTGGGCCTCTTTGGAACATGGCCTTCAGGAAGTTTGGGTTTGTGGTCAGGTAGTAGACCTTGAGCAAAGCAAAAAACAAGGAGTTGAACTCAAACATGTCAGCAACACTGTCATCAGAGAAAGATCGTCAGTGAGTACGGTGGGAAAAAAACAGTTTAGTTGGATTAAATTCATGCCACACATTAAGAATCACTTTCCACCAAATTTGCGGTGAACAAAGGAATTACTTATCCCTGTCACCAACTTTCCTTATAGGTGATAGTGTCCAAAAATATATGGGAACCAGGATTGTGACAAGCAGTTCAAATTCAGCTTTAATACTTGAATCTATAATTAACATCTAACCAAATGTTTTTGTTTTACATACAAACAGTAACGATGCAATCTCATTTTATTAGAAAATAACATATTGGGGATTAGGGTTCAACTCTATCCTGCTTTCTTGACACAGTTTCCTGTTTGCCATTCGATAGAGTCAAACTCAACACTATCAACATTATCTTGACTACTTGTTGTCAATGTTATAAAGATACACCTACAGTTTCAGTGTTAAATCAGACGGACAAAATGAGGATATCTTGGGATCATAGTAGATAATAATGTATGTGAAACCACACAGAGGGGCAGTGACACAGACCTGCTCTGTGAGCCATCTGCACACAAATGGTAATCTTGCGATGTTCCTGTGGACAGAGACCAGTGATTCTCCTGGGCAACATCCCTCCATCTGACCTGATGAACTGACTGAGCAACAATACGTCCTTAGAGAGGGAAAAAAAATCCAATCAAACACCTTAAACAGCTGATAAAACTTTAAATAATATCTTATTTGGTCATTGCCTGCCCCTGAATGCATTTACAGTGTAGTTGTATTTGTGCTGTAGGTTCCATCTGTAGATAGGACATTTGGCTGTGGGGTTTGGAGGCTGTGGTCCCACTGGAACATCCACGATCTGTCCTTCGATCTGAGAAAAGATGAGCGTTACTACAGCTGGTCTAATACTGAGCAATGCCAGCTTCTTTTAGAGGCTCGCCATTTGAGTCGGTGTGATTCACCTTTGAAATAAAAACTGTTATGTCCAGTCACAGTCCTTTGAGACCCTCAACCAACTATATCACAGTATAACTGGTTGTTATAGAGGTGTGCTGATGGAGGTCAAATCAAATGTGAACGTCTTAGAAATGTGTTGGTGTTTGAGATGCATGTCATAAAGCATTAAAATCACTATAATGGATACTGTATACAACAGATAAAAAGAGAATATATTTAACAACCAAAATAATACAGAATATAAATTGCACGTACACTATTATTGTCAGTTTACCATCACAACACTCTTTTACTTACCATCGTTGTTTTACCCTCCTGCTTCTCTACCACTGCAAAGAAACAGGAAGTAAAACATTACACAGTATTCATAAACACAGCTATTGCAGTTGCTATTTTTCAGGATTGGCCTCCTCGTCTGTGAGAGACAGTCATACAACCACTGACTTTTTCGATGGCAAGTAAATATATTTCACAGTCAGTCTCGAACTCTTCACAAACATGACAACATGTGTGTTTGAATAAAGGTTGTTTAAAGACAAGCAAATGAGTGACTCTCTGCTATATTCGTGTTTCATCTTGTTTTGCTTTCACACTAGGAGTTGAAATAAGCAGCGGATCCTCTGAGTTTGTTTGGTGGCTGCAGGTTTTTCAGTGAGGAGACATCTGCGCTGAGCTGTCAGTGCCTCTACATTAGCATGCTAGCTAACACACCGATAGGCTGAAACCGTCACGTGTGGATGAAACACTCACCCTGGCGGATCCCTCTGCTCGGGACGGTGATGGCCGACAGCCGAGGGACATTTACCGTCTGGAAAACTCCCACTTGAGAGGCTGCACTTCCTAATTTTAACCCCGCAAACGAGGTGTACACAGACCTCAATGCACCGCGGAGCGCCATGTTTAATTCTTGACCTTCGCCGTCATCGCTTCCGGTATGAAAGCCTCGCGAGAGTGGAAACAGCGACCTCCTCGGCGAAGACTGGGCATTACAAATACAGCAGGAATGAAACAACTCAAGACTTTCACAAACTAAAGAGAAAGTAAGAACAGAAATAAAGGTACATTCCTACCACGTTCATGTATGAAGTTAATAAACGTTTCATGAACTGGCTTAATGAAATAGGTCACTTTCAAAGTCCAGATAGATATATTTATGGGAAAGTGTAATGAATCTTTATCTAAAGCATTGCTCATGACAAGTGAAAATAAGATGAAAACTGGTGCATAGATGAAGCTAGAGGAGCCAAGAAAAAGATTAAGAAGCCATTTTCATGTAATTCTCTGCAAATAACGTGCAGTGTGCATGACAATAAATGCTGCAGTCCACACAATAAACTGCAGGATATATCTGTGGATCCCAGAGATTACTAAGAGAGGCTTTCATCCTAGTTTAGATGAGTTCATAACAAAGACAGGGGCCACTGTTCATACCTCCATTCATACCAGGCTCATCAGATGAAAAGTAGGAGAGGCACCTCCAGGAGCGGTGTAGGAACATGCCAAGCTTTTGTTGCAGGAAGCAAAAGATACTGGCGGATTCTTCACACACAGAGGCTCGGCGAAGATAAAGGGCTAGATGCTTGATAGTGTTATCGTGAGGACACTATGCTATTGTCTAGCTGCTATGTTTTTGTTTGCTGTTTTTCAGGATTTACCTCATCGTCCGTTTGAATAAGAGAGGCATTAAGAAAGCAAAAGCAGACTGCAACAATAGAACAACAGAAGTGCTTCCGTAGATGCAGGAAAATACATTTATGTAACTTACAACATAATACAGCACCATGATAAACTGAAGATTGATATAACAACACATTGTCTGTTTAGCAGGATCTCCTACAATTGCACAAATGTGGGTCTCAACAAAATAACAACAATATGAAACACAGTCTTGAGTTTATATATTTCTTTTTGCTCATTTTTGGGTTCCTCCTCATCATAACTATTACAATAACACAACAAATGATGAATTGATGATTGAAATTATACCTAGTTATGGGGGTTTTGACCATCAGTGCCTTGAAGCAATGTTTTTTTTTTGGGTGTAAGAGGATTTACATAATCACACAATCAACTTGTGCAATCTGATACAAATCCCTGCCAAAGTTTTAATGTTATTCCACGGATGGTGGTGGTAACATTCAACAAACAAAGGTAAGGAAGAAGACTGCAAACAGGTTTAAATAGATTCAAAGAAAACAAAAGTTTCAAAATATACAAAGATCAGCCTTGGGAATGTTGATCTTTGTTTATTTCGAAACCTTTGTTTTATGAAGAAGTAATTCCATGCTCCACATTTGTTCAACCTCAAGGAGACACACCACCTAGTCAGAGTATGTCTGAAATGACAAAATAACTTTTGTTTGTTTAGTTGCACCAGAAAACTCCACTGTGTGACTTAATCTGTTGGTTAAGCATAGTTCATTGTGAGAGGAGCACAGTAATTACATGTAGGGCATGTCAGGATATTCACCATCACGGTTCCTTGGGTTCACAGCCAAAAATGCGAGCGATTTCTCAAACACCATCTTAAGTGTGGAACCAAAAAGAGCTGCACACTGGGATGCAAATAGCCTTTTCTGTGTCCATCTTGTCTACAGAGCAGAGAGGAGATAGAGATTACCGTCGCCCTGCCACCACAAAGCAGACATTGTCTCAGTGATTAGGTTCCTTCGTCAAGGACACTTAGGCAGTCACATTCCTCAAGAGAAGCCCCAAAAATGGCATTTAAAGTGTCTGGCCATCTCCTCATAGGCTTTGATATTCAAATGAAACATGGCCCTGTACAAACAGACGCCTCAGCTGAGGAAGGCAGGGGGAGAGTAAATCAGATAGGATTTCCCTGAGATGAAAAGAGCTCGCCTGACATTTTCACAGCGAGCACTGGGGGACACTGAGGCAATGTTGGTTTGATGTCATGGTGGGAAGTTATTGCTGTGTGGAAAAGGTTAGCATTTTCACCTCTGCCTCCCTGGATAAACGCTAAAACGCAGCATGGAACTAGCAGATGAGCTGAGACCAGAGAGAGGAAGAGCGGGCACAGTCTCATAACATAAAAACAAATCCAACCCATCCTGCTGCATTCCTCTTTTATTGTCACACTGGTCAGTTTGTTTGGCCTTTAATGTTTTTGGTTTAGACTGAAGGGCCCCTGGTGATGCTGCAGAGGAGTCTTCACAAAAAGAGCTGAAAGAGGATCTTAATAGCATAACTATGGGATCTGCAAAGTAGAATTAAAGGCCACATGCATACTACTATAACTTCATTTGAAAACAGTGTTTTTAGACTAAAACAGTCTCTGTCCACACAAGTATGTTGGTTCCATATCTGATATCTGAAAATGCATATCATGTGACCACTCACTTGCATGCACATGCCGGTGTTAACAGGAAGGCACACACGTCCCGCTGCACATGGAAATTGTCGCAGATTGCTCAAATAATAGCTTGTGTTATACACATGTAAGCAGTTGTGTCAGCAAAATGCAGAATTCAACTGCATAACAGCTGTTAGCAAATACAACAGGGTCAGCAACAGTTGTTGTGTTCTACACTGGTACCTGCAGCTGATGCCTTTTGTGTTTTTCTGGAACAGGGTTGTTATATTCGCTAACAAATCAGTGAAGGCTACATCTTGACCGAATCAGCAAGCGTGTGTGAGTGTCTGAGTCATTTCAAAATCCTCCGCTTTTGCACATCAAGAAATAAAACGTTCCCCCTGGAGTTTTCAAACTAAAATGGAGCCAGCAGCGTTTCCAAACCTCTCTGTTTAAGCAAGTCTAAAACTCTGGAGTAGTGTTGGCACCAGGCATATCAGTAGCACATGCAGTTGATTGCAACTGTTGTGGCATAGCTCTCTAATGTTTCCTCACAGGCAGGATTTCTCCCAATGAGTACCAAAGGTTTTTGACAGAATATCTCATTACCATGCAGGTGGAATGTGTGGATTTTCGGCTGCGAAATTGATGGGCACAGTCTGGTATGCAATTAAGGCATAGCTGTCAGTAAGAGGCTTTCCTGGGTGATTAACTTGTAAGGGCTGTTGCATCTAAGGAAGTCAACTGAACACAATTAGCCTATTTCCAAGGAATGAGTTTGGTTAAAGACCCCTGCTGCTCGTAAGATGAGGTGAGAAGAAAGATGTTCTCTGAAGCAGACAACTGGAAATCAAGACGCAGCTTTCATGGACAAGGAGTGGACCTCAGTGTCCTGAGTGACATTCAATGTGCATTCATCGCTCCTCTTCTTCTTTTTTCCCTTTTGAAGCAGGGTAAAGCTTTCCTGCAAGTGACATGAATCTTTATCCATCCAAGTATCCGCCGGCCCCCCCACGTCTTCTGTTTCTCAACCCCCTCACTCACTACCCTTCCCATACTTATTTAGGCGTACGTGCTAAATGGCACTGGCTTCTCCAACAAATTCACTGCTCTTTGAAGAGGCTCTTATCCCCATTTTTCCTCCGCTTGGCTCTCAGAGAGTGGCAGCTTCTATCCTCCTTCTCACACACGTACCCACACACACTCAGTCTGTCTGTGAGCACACACACACACTCAATAAAAAACACAAACCTCTTCAGATGTTTGAAAACATTTTGTCCTCTCCCTTTGCATTTCCCTTCCTGCTGGGGATGTAGTTTTTGTTTTAGTTTGAAACTGGTTCCGCACCTCCCGAGGTCCAGTCTCCTTTGGCTGGGTTTTGTTTGTCTGACCTTTTAAAGATTCACCCCTCCACTTAATAGCAACAAGGAAGTCAATTAAAGCAGAGACGGGATAAGGTCTGAAAAGTTAAAAGAGACAACTAATTTGTTTTCGTCTGGATCACTGTCACAGATCAGGAATTCTCCCTCTCCATGTGTTTTAAATTAAAGAATCGTGTTCCACCTGTAGGAACAACAGCCAGAAATATAACCAGTGATTAATATAAGCTCGGAGCGATGTTTTAATGTGATGCAGGGATATCCCATGCTGTGCTGATTTCTGCAGCACTGGCCAGATTAGTTTCCCACCATTGCTGCCCCTGCTCTTAACTTCCTCCTTGTGCATGTTGCCATGATGCCTGCAGCAGCATTCTCACATAGACCAGATGGTTTCCAGCAAGCTGTGGTCCTCTTTACTAAAAGGCCATCTGCATGTGGTCACGTGACATATGAGGCGTCCATTTAAATTAAGGGAGCTGCAACTTGTTTTTCTTCATTGATTGAAAAAAACAAACCGTTCATCCTCTTCGATAACTAGGTTGCAATGTATTAATTCATTTTAGTCTTTAAGTTGTATTGATTGATATTTTGGTAACTTGGATTGATGTATTATCACCCTCAAAAATCAAACAGGAGATATCTGGCTCTTTTAATTCTTTGATTAATGTATATGTAATTGATTTAATTGACAATTGAATAGAGCAGCTTAAGACCAGTATGTTAAATAATATGTTATATCTGTGGTAAAGGCCTGCTCTGGTATGGCCGTCTGAATAAAAAGTGAAGACTTAACTCTTCTGCCTTTGAAACCAATTTTTAAAAATGATATACGTCACCATTGTGCTTGTGAACTGTTGGACAAACTAGCAGTTCTTGGCTGATGTTGACCATACATACTTCAGACAAGGTGTCACTTCATATTAGGGTTATTTTTGTCCGTTGACCTACATGCAAAATGAGTTGTTGACAGTTCCATCTCATGTCTCATAAGGTCCAGTTCCAGAACAAAATGAATAAGGGTGCATCTGAAATTAGTGGGGGTGCACTTATGCAAAAGCCTTAAACGTCAACTGATTATTGCCCAGGTTATATATGCCTACAGCTGCTTTTATTGGGGTCAGAACATGCAAATACACACAACTTTATGTCCGTCAGCATTCATAGCAGAGATATACAGTATCTTTGCATCTGTGAGTCTCTTGAAACTGTCAATCAAAGCCCAAGCAGTTTATAGCATAACCAGGTGTGACATTTACATGTTGCGCCCAA